TTGTAAAAATGTTAGCCTTAAAGAATTTTAAAGCTTTTAATAGGTGTTACAGAACATTCTTTAAAATGAATTTTTAAATACTTTAACCCGTGTTTTTACGTGTTCATTTTTGATAGTAGCTGGTATAATCACTTTTAGTCTTCCGTTAAAATAAATATTAAATCGTAGGAGCCCAAGAATATTGATCCCTACAGATTCTCGGTACCTTTAAAAACCTGTGTAAACCAATCTAAATATAAGTGGCCGAAGCTAACTTGAAAGCACTCGACAAGTTATAGACGAAGTTTCCCGTAATTAAACAACAGAGAAATCTTTGAGATCTTCTGGTATCGTGTCAGAAAATTAAGTATAAAAAAATCTTTGAAATCTTCTCCAAATCAGTTTGAGGGAATGAAGAAAGAATGAGAAAAAAGAAAAAAAGCACAAAATTAAAATTTCAAAATTTTTTCATATAAAATGAATTACTTGTAAAGGAATATTAAGTTAATATAATCATTATACAGTCCATTTGTGTATTAGCAAGTCGTTTTATTTTATAAATTATTTGAGTTGAGGTGAGCTATGACCAATTTTTTATGACCAACACCATTTTTTTTTTTTTTTTTTTCATTATTGGTGATACTTTTTCTTCTCTATTTGCATAATAGTATTTCATAGGTTTTAATTTTATCTAAGTGTGACCGCAAGTCAGCCAGTCGCGGAAGTCTTAAAGCTGGGACATATACGCAAGTTGCATTCAAGAAAGTTCTGCTGTGGGCATCAGATCTTGATCGCGGTGAACTTTGTAATTGCCTGTATTCTTGGTTTATTTATACTTGCATTCAAATTTCTTTTCAAAATATTTAAATAATCCATACTTCCCATAGCTCCACTGACAATCAGCAGATTACCAGCGTAATAGTTTTTGGCCATACAAGCAACCTAAAATAAAGCATCAGCCATATTTAACAGTCGCAATTTAAATTTTTTCTCTTTAACTTTGTTCTTGCTCTCTATTTCAGAACATTTGTTTTTCATTGAAGCTATATACCCACTGGATAGGTTAATTTTGCATTCGTTGTAGCTCTGTAGAACAATTAGGTATTTTTTTATGCAGAAAATGTGAAAAATGAGCCATACCCTCGCCGGGTCTTAAACCTGGGCCTCTCGAATACGAGCCGCAGGGGCGTAGCTAGAGGGGGGCAAGGGGGGGCAGAATCCAAGGGGCGCCAAACTGATGCTAAGACATTTTAGAATAAAATGTTTTCCATCCTTGGCAAGCAGTAGGGGGCGCGAAATCTTCAGCTGCCCCTGGGCGCTGAAAACCCTAGCTACGACTCAGACGAGCCGAGTGCGCTACCGTTACACCACGAACTCATGCTGGAAGGAGGGAGAAAATATACACCCCCTTATTAGGGCGACTAGGGATTAGGGGACCCAATCGTCACATCCTGGTGGTCACGAATTATTGTCCACCACCTCTTATTTCGGCCGCCACTGTAGAGTAATTAGGGTTTTTGAAGCAGGAGACGTTAAAAATTCGTAATGCCGTCGTCGGGTCTCTCGAAACCTGGATCTCTCGAAATACTCGCCGAGTATGCTACCGTTACACAACGAAGGCATGCAGAAAGAGGGAGGAAATACCTTATAGCTCGCTATTATCAGAAAACTAAAATTTTCTTTTTAGTATCAAGCAAATTTCTAGGCATTGCTTTCTATTCACACTCGTAGGGCTTCTTTTTTCTTTTTTTATGATCATTTAATGTATGCAAAATGCATAGGTGAAATGCTCTCCGTTCGGTTTAATCGGATGTCTTTTTTTCTGTTAAACACGGCCAGCCTTTAAACTGAATTTTGGAACACTTTTGTTAGAATATTTTTCTCTTTCCTGGGCATGCTTTTGATGCTCATCCACTTGTGTTTTGTGGTTAAAGCCGCTAAAAGTTAATTTTTTTCGGAGTTCTCGTTCCGAATATCGGGTTAGCTGAAAAGATTTCCATAGTTTTCCTTTATGTGTAAGGTTAATAGGAGCCAATTCCGCTTAAAAATTCTTCCATGATGGAATCCTTCTTTTTTTAGGCTTTACTACAATTAATCAAACAACGAGTTGTCTTCGTTTCTAGAGGTAGCTGATTGAAATGCTCCTGATATTTAAATATGTTAATAATACAAACCGGTACTCTGTGTGACTTCTGTATAATTTTACCATCATTTGCCAATTTAAATGCAATCAAATTGCATTAGTACTACCTTCGATATAACGACCGTTTTCCATAAAACAACCCAAAGAATTCACGACCTATTATTCATAAGCCTGTCCTCCATTCGTTATAACAACCACTGAATATGGCTTCCTATTCCATCGATTCCTAGAAAGTCGTTATGAGGTAAGTTCACTGTATTATTTTTCAAACACCAATGTTTAAATCAAGTCAACAACATATAACTTAACAAAACTTTTTGCATCTCAAAATATAACAAGAAAGTTTATGATATGAATCAAAAGCAAAATTTCTGACGTTCTCAATGATATCTAGTGTCTAAAGAAAAGGACCGATTCTGCTTCTGTACTAAATACTCTGTGGCATTTCTTTATTATACATCCAATTCCTTTATTATAATTTCTCTTTTAAAAATAAAGCTAAGATGAAATTTTTAAAAATTAATTTGGAGACACATGCGTTAAATAAACAAAGACACTTTAAAAAAATTTGTTTAATTCTAGCATTATTGGCGATTTGGTGGCAGGTAAAGGTTTTGCGAAAACTCTTGAGAATCAAAAATGAAACAGAGTGGCAGATCAGAAAATGCAATGTAATGACTCGAAGTTGTTTGAAATATTCAAAACACCTGATACGAAACTGATTTGAAATTTCCTCAACTCTTGTTCGTTCAGTGCATACAAACTGTAAGCTTTTATAGAATAAAAAGCGAAAGAAATATTAACAAAATTTGTTTTTTCTTCCTAAAAGATCTGCGTACAGATTTTGGCATAGTATTGAACTTAAGTAGTATTTTGTTGCTAAATTATTTCACTTTTGAATAACTTCCCTTGAATATTTCTTATTTCTGAATACATTCATATGTATTCATTTTGCCCCGTGCATCAAACTTATTACATAGATATTCATATTATTTTTGTATCATGTTTCTACATTTTACCTTTCGAGCGTGGATTTTGTATGATGTGAGTATTTTGTGACTGGTTTGCGTTCATGACTTCAGTTTACCTATAAAATAGCTCTAAAGCTAACTTATGCTAACTTATGGTAATTACACTTAAATTTTATATATGTATTAAATATCTTTATAAATTTTAATCTCTTTTTTAACATTATTTCATTATCTTCATATATTTGGAACCAAAACATAACACAAGTAGCTTTTAAAAATTTTTAAACTAATATATAAATTTAAAAGTTTTGTTTTAAAGAATGTAAAGCAAAGTGTACATATCTATGGTGTGTAGCTTTCAAAAGTCAAGAATTTCTTCTAGCTTTATAATATTCCTAATATATGTACATATGATAAATGCTTGCCCACTGTCAGAAATCGAAAATTGAGGAAACATCATCTGGAAATCTTACATTAAGGGTTGATGAGTATAAAACTAAGATTTGAATTGTGGTTTTTGGTTGTTGAAGATTATGCTAAAACGATTATTAATACTTTCTCTTTTGTTAAAATAAAATACCGCTTTAAAGGAAAACTTTATTTTTATATAACTGCAGCTTTTCAAACCTGACGAATAATGTAAAGATTTATGAAGGCGATATAAGGTAAAAAGATTTTTTTTCGCAAAGTTAATATAGTTTGAAAAGAGTTGCGTTAATTCTAGTTATACGGAAAGATTTTTCTAGAAACTGCCAAACGTATACTAACTGCAACTGCTTAAATCGGAGCAGAATTTTTTAAACTTTTACTTCTATTCTGGTCGAAGCACGCTATATCGACAGTGAAAATGACAGACTTGTCAATTCCGAGACAGAGAAAAAGTAAGAAATGGTTGGCGTACAGCCACCTCAATATTAGGAAAAGAAAACTGATAGATATTGTGGTTATTATAAATGATTATTTAAACACTTGGCTCTCTCTATATATAACTCAACTGAATACCCAGAACTTTCTGTCAGGCGTAAATATTGATTTTGAACCGCTTAATAATGCACTGAAAATTATGTATTCTTTGTATTCCTTTGACTAATTTAATACTTTTTGACGCCTCTTTTATTAGTTTTACATCAGTGAGAGTTATTTGAAACTTTCAGCTTTAGATTAAAACATTTACTTCATGTAACAGAAAGCTCTGCTTAGCGATAGTAAACGCATATCGGAGAGCCTAGAGTTACCTATATTTGTCTTTCAGTTAGCTGTGGTGAAACTCGAAACCAAGGTTTTGGCATCGAATTCCGTATAAATCTGATGTCGTTGTCTTTCCCTCTTCTTGCAGTTGTAATTCGTCTTGTCCCTTATGGTGCACAGGCGACGAACGAGGTCGCTAAATAACCATGTTTTCCGACGGATGCTTAGACAGTAGATGTTCAACCGTTAAATAAAATATGTTTTTTTTTAAAGTTTCAAGATGCTTTATTCATATCTTATCCTGTGTCTATGACTTACTAATATTAACAACAGAGGAGATAATTTTCATTTCTGCAATTCATTACCGTTCATTTCTAAATGAAATATTGTGGGTTTAATCTTGCCAAAGTATTAATAAATCTAAATAAGCTAAAATTATAATAATGTTCTTATAAAAAAGAGAAGGTTCTACGCGAACTAACACTAATCATGTTGGAGCTCATAAGAATCAATAAATTTGTACGGAATTTTCTATTTTATGGAATAGAATCATGATCTTGGCTTCTTACTATTAGCATAGTGATGTTGCGATGATTTTAACTACGATGTCATTCACAGCAGAGTTAATAGTTATATGACGCATATTAACTGCATTAATTATTCTAATTCTTCTTTCTACTAACTTTCTAACCATGTATTTTCTCTAAATCTTCTTTCAGTCGCAGAACACTAGACGACGAGGATGAACTTTCTGAATTTCAGCCCAACGCTGTTCCTACTGAAGTACGAGACTGGTTGGCTTCCACATTTACAAAAAAGCCTGCAGCTCAGCGGAAGAGATCTGAAGACAAGCCACGATTTCGATCGGTTGCCAATGCAATTAGAGCAGGCATTATGGTGGACAGGTTAGTTATCCAAAGAAAAAGTATTTTGCGTAAGATTCCATTCTACAGCTTAACACATTGGCGAACGCTAATGTTTTGTTCGAATTTATTTCTGATAATTTTAGTTATCCAACATTAAACACGAGCGGCTGAAAACGAGTTTTTTGTTACTAGTCGCTGATATCTACCGTTTAAAAAAAAAGAGAGAGAGATTTCTTATTACCGATCACTAATGTATTCAAATACTATTTTAAAGCACGGGCATTAGTCCCAAAACTTGATATTATGAACTTTCACTGCGTTGTAAAATAAACGCTACCTGGGTAATTTATTGGATATTGCAAATACAGTTAATGTAATGAAATAATATAGAATTCCTTCAGAATTCTTTTAATGAAGTGAACACTTCTTATTAAACTTTCACACAGTTTATCATTTATTAGGGACAACGACACTCCGGGGCTTTGTTGCAATAAATTATCTTATCTACTGTTTGCGGATGGCTTTGGGGTATCAAAGAGTCTAGACACTATGTAAGGAATTTTGGTACTTCTCCCTGTTAACGCGCATCAAGTTAACGCAAAACATTAGCGTTAGCGCGAAGTTTAAAGAGATTCCGGAAATCCTGATAATACATAGCGAAAAGATTAATTATTTTATTAAATCCAGAACAAATGAAAAAAGAAAAAGAAAAAACACGTTTAATGCCAAGTTTGTGTGCAATGATAAAACTTGTGCAAATATTAGACTTTTTTGAGTGAAAACAGATCGCTGTGTACATGGGAAGAATGAGATATCTACGCAGCAATCTGTTTTCGGTTAAAGATAATCAGGGACCTGGACAAATTACGCATCGCCCACAGCTTCGGCATTAAGGGCATGCTGCAACATTTGACGCTTTGGAGTACATTTGGCAACTGACTCCCCTTTAACAGGGAACCAGTTTTTTTTTTTTTTTTTTTTTTTTTTTTTTTTTTCTATTTCTTTCACCTTACATCGAAAATACGTGACTCATTCTCTTACTTCCTTTTTTCTTCTGAAAATGTTCTCCATGTTTTATAAGCTCTAAAATCAGCCTTTTCTTAAAAATGCAAATTATAATTAGTTAAAATTTTAATACTGCCTATAGGAATTAAAACATCATTTTCTTAAATACTGTGTAAGCGTTTGTGCTTAACTGTAAAGATTAAAAACGGCCAGTTAATGCATCAGATAATTTCACGTAAGAAAACATACGTGTGATTTTTTCTGAAAATTACAAATAAGTCTTTCTCCAGGCTTAGTTAATTGAAGTTACATAGCTGTATAACGAGTTAAGCTTTTCCTGGTTAATATGGAAGAATATTAAACTTACCTTTATCACATAAACAAATGTAGGAAGTGCAGTCTACATATATGAATTGAGCACAAATCTTAGCCTGTAACTGGTGAGACTGCAGAAGTATTACTTTAAATAGTACTGACATTTCCCCTCACCGACTATGGCTTAACTTTAGAAATAAAATAAAATCCTAAACATAAAATCAATAATTTAAAAAATTAGTCGCATTTTCTTATTATTCATAATTTTGTAAAATTTCATATATGCCACTCAATGGTTAGTAAGAACATCTTCTAAGTCTTTACCGCTGTTGCCAAACTATGTCGCACTTTCATCGTAATGTAGTTTCAAAGTCCGCTGACATAAACTATACACTAACTAATTTTTTTTATTAGCTCTAACATTACTGTTAGCAGTATTAAAAAAAGATTACAGATTAAAATAGTACCTCTAAAATTCATGCTTAACATGAAATTTCTAGAAAAGATTTTGGTTTGGGGTTTATTTAACTATGCCAAAGCACTCGAGAGCTATTTGCCTAAGGGAAGGAATGTGTTTGTGGAGGACTTTCTAAGGAAAACTGGTTCGTATCTACTCTATGCAAGGGAGGAAACCAGAGAAACGCCCATGCAGGCAATCCGTTCGCCGGAATTCGAGCCGAAGACCGAACTATCAACGGCCGCTCGTGGGCTATTCTAGAACAGAAAGAAATGGTATGTTTTCTCAGACCACACTTAAGTGCTTAAGGGTTAAAGCTGTTACCGAACCTGTGTAAAATAAATTCAAAATCTCATTGAACACGATGGCTTTTGCGTGTTTAAATCCTTAAAAGATAGTACTGAAAGAAAAAATGTTTCTTCACTCAAAATTTTCCATTTGAGTGTGCTGTGCTCTCAAACCAATAAGGTAAGTAAAGAAAGAAGTTCTAAATGCGATCAGGAAAATGTACTTAAAGGGAAAAAAATGAAAGCTCTTAATCGATTACTGAGAGAAGCAGCAGCAGCTGTCTTCAATTCGACATCCACGTGGTACGTGCATACAAAAAGGAAAAAAAGAGGAAGGAAAGATAGAAAAGTAAAGATCAATCTTTAAACTACCGCTGGAAATCATGACGTTTGGAAGCTTCCAAAGCAGTTTTGTTAAAATTTGATAACTTCATGAAATCAGTGCTTGCTATGGTGCATCTGAATCGAATTTCAAAGAGCTGTTAGGACCTCGCGCACAATTTCATAAATTTTCATAATTCTCTTTTCATATCAGGAAATGCTCTGCCACGCTATTTCATAACGGTATTCATCTATTCTCAAGCAAGTTCTTTTATTTTATGTGCAGATGTAAGTACAGCAAAAGATATTCATATCTTGCTTAGCAGTACAAAAATAATAACATATTACGCACTATTTTTCAACCCCTGACAAATGAATAAAGCTTTTCGGAAAATTCCAAACAAAAAATCTTGAAACACCGATGTACTTACTTTTTAGTGACGAAAAAAGAAAGTCAGCTCTATTGCATACCATTTCATTGCAAGTATGTGTTACAACGGCACCCTCTCGTAAAATAGCCCTATTATACCCAGAGTAAAAAAAAGTGGGGGAGACAGTTTTATATCTCCTGTTTTGTATGGGTCGATTGACGCAATTCAGCTCGCATTTTGAATGTGAGCATGTCTCGAAAGCGCGACTATGGATACGTACTAGATTTATCTGAAAGATTGCTTTCAGATAGGTATTTTGACACAAAATCAATCTTTTTCTTGTACGACATGCTTAGCTTTTTACTACGCCTTAAATTATGATAAGGTACCAAGTTTCATAAGTATATATACAACTTTTGCCATCATCTGAAAGTAGATGTATTTCTAGGCATACTTGCAAAATATTAGAGTTTTCATTTAAAATTTTCCAAGATACACGCATGTTAATCAAAAGTTTAAAGTCTTTTTTTCTTTCATAAGAGTAAATTTTTATCTTCATCATAAATCTTCTGCTATTTTATTTTACTTTATTTTATATTCAATAAAATTTATTTGTTTAATTTCAAAATTGCGCATAATATACGCATTCAATACTTCTGAGTACGTCAAAAATATAAATAAAACATGCTGTCTTCTACCACAGAAATGTGTAACAGCGGCAAAATTTACTAGAACATAAGATTTTTTTATATTCTTTTCTGTGTGTATCAAAGGCAATAAATAAAGCTATCCTGAAGGTGTTTTACGTCCAAAGCTATTTCGTGTCTTTTACTGCAAATTAAATTTCTTAAAATCAGTGTTTGCTATGTTGCACCTGAATCGAATTTCAAAGAGCTGTTAGCACCTCGCGTACAATTTCATGAATTTTCATAATTATCTTTTCATATCGGGCAATGCTTTGGTAGTGCCCGATATGAAAAGAGTTGTTTACAAGTGTTGTTTACGCTTGAAAGGGCACCTAATTATCACCAGAGACTTTTTTAAAGCAAAATATATTTTTATGCAAATATAGGATTTAGAATAACACATTCTTAGACATCTAACTGCGATTTCTCAAGTCCTAAATTCTAGTCATTACACTAAGCTTCGGAAAGCTTCTAAATTTCATAGTTTAGAAATCTACGTTTAGAAATCGCACGTAAGTTAGGTAGGTTAGTCATTTCAATATCGTAAAGCTCATGAAGACCACCTGCCTAAAAAAAGGAATACCTACATGCAGGATCTTTCTACAAAAATGTGGCTCGTGTTCCCGTTGCACATAGGGAAAATCACGAAAACCATGCAGCCAGCTCGTTCACCTGGGTTGGTTTCCGAGACAAACTATCAGCAGTCTTTAACCGTTCGGCCACTAGATGGACAGCTAAAATTAAGAGCCAGTGTATTAGATTTTTAAAGTATCTTACGTTAATAAACTAGTTACTATGATTTAAGTTTTTAATATAACTTCTCCTTCCGTATTTCTCACCAGAATGCAAATTAGCTTCGCGTGTACTTAAGCTGAGAGTTTTGAAACTTTAGTTGAGATACTGCAAACTTCGCTGAACTTCCAAATTATGAAATCTTAGAGGACGATTTTTTTTCATTCATCCGGACGCTGTAGATCTTTTATAGCAAGAAAAATTTGTCAGATGACATGAGATTTCGCCCATCACGTACACATAGCCGAATTGCCAGTTACGTTTCATGATGAAAATTCTTAAATACACTATGTTTTTCTTTCTCGTGTGTTGTCTGGATTGGACACCGTCACCTGGAAGTTGACGCTATTCTCACAGTTGGTAACACCCATCTTGCCCGCAGCCTAGCTGGATTTTCTCCTAGTGCTATAAGTGGCTCCAGATGCGGAATGGCTCTAGCTACTATAGAGGCTGAAGCGCCTCTTCCCTTCTTTCGCCATCTTACGAAGGACACATCTTCCCTTACGAAGGACACATTTCACGTACCACTTATTCTAAGGCTCCGTAAGGAACTCTGTAATTACTCTCTGAAGTTCTGCTTAGGCAGCAGAACCCCAGAATACCACTGCAGTATTACAGTATCGCTTTAGCTGAGAGAGCTTCTGACAATCGCATTTTTCTCTTAGAATTTTTAGGCAAATCTGTTTAAAACTGATATTAAGGGATTAGTATTCTTGCTAGATGATGATTTAAATATGTGGTGTTAAACTATATGAGCCAGCTTATTCGATTTAATGTGCAGTCTCAGATTACGTTATCGACATTC